TTTCTCATGGCCATATTTTCCTAATTGTCAGAGCAATAGATTTCCTGAGTAAGGAATGACTCACAGCAACCTCTCTATTTGTAGAGTTGTTCTCATCCCCCAGGAAGTTGAAGGCTAGAACCATAGGCTCTTGCAGCTTTCATCACCATGCTGTTGGCTGTTCCCGGATATATTCATGTTTATCTTTAAAATTTTCCCCAGAAACCTTATCTGAGGTTTGAAAAAATTTCGGTTGAAATCAATGCATTAAAAACAAACTTAGAGCCAAGTTTCTCTTTCCGACTGTTTCACTGGACAACTTCCAGCTGGATTTAGTTACAGCTTGCCTAGATGATGGTTAAATATTTCCCTGCAAGACACTACATTAGCTGTAAAGACTTAAGTGAGCAAAGTTGGCTACAAATATCTTTTTATAGCCTGCACTGTATGCACTTGTGAGTTTTTGCCACATATCAATGCAGGGCAAATCATGTGTTTTGCTAAATGTTTTAAGTAGAATAATTAGTGAGATTTTAATGTTTTAAAGAAAATAAATGTATGTTCTGTGTTTTCAGATACGAAAGATGGGACTGGAAACAAGCAATCTAAAAAGCTTTTCAGCACTTACAGAGCTGGTTCTAACTGCCAGGGATCAGGCTACAGCGGAACAATCCTAGATACTTTTGAAAACATGTGACTGAAGATAAACAGTGTCCCTAAAAGAAGGAGAATTTAACTCTTTTTTATTTTACCAAATAAAGTAGCAATGAAGTGCTTCCTAATGTATCTCAAGCAGCCAGTCTGCGTATCTACTTTCAAGATAGGCTTGTTTCACCAAGACTGAGCATTTACCAGAGTTTTCCATCATATGGAAAGCAGTCAGAAGTTCTGAACTTTCTACTGTAGAATAAAAGTGGAAGAAAATGTGTTTTTTTATTTTTGTTGTACATCTTAAAATGTAGAAGAATGAACTTATATGATGAAAATAATATGTAATAAATTGTCTTCCTAACTTCTGGTGTCCCATATATTTTTAATTCAAATGGATTCATTGATGGCTGTCAAAACCTTTCAAAGGACTTTATTCTAGCTCTTCTGGAATAAAGAAAATGCTTACAGGAATAAGAATCTGCTGTTTATTGTTACTGCTTTGCACTTACCTGCTTCCCCTCATTGTAGGATATGCTTGGCTCTTGATTGAGGTTTGAGTGGTTTCATTTTACTGATTTTTTTTTTTTTTTTTAATTTTTTTTTTTTATTCTATTTTTTGGGGTTGGGGGGGAAGGTGTCTGTTGGAATTTGGCAATTTTTTTTGCTTGAATACATGTTGAATTCTTGTAATTTCAAACCTAGTTACAAAGATTTGTCTTGAGCCTAGAGTGATTTGTGTGCAGACATCTTTTACATGTGAGGGACAGGTAACACAGTTGGGGACAGTAGGAGATGAATTTGAGGCTTTCAAATGAGAGAACGCCTTGTGTGAGTGGAATAAGGTTGTGTTTGTGTTTTGGGGGTTCTGTTTTTTTTTTTCTTACCCTGTGAAGATCTAGTTCATGTTTATTAATTAAAAATACCCGTTTCTTCCTGAAGTAGAGAGCTTGGGTCTTAATGGGGGAGCCGAAGAGAGCACAAGTCTTCCAAGTACAGAGATAGAGAGTCTGTAGTTCATGGCTATTCTGTATCATTGAAGTTGTAGGGAGCACACTTGTCATGGCATTAAGGCTTTTTATTCCTCACTATTGACGAACTGGTCATATTCTAGTTGAGAAGACACACCTGTGTGGTCCCTGTGCTTTCGAAGTGATTAGGATAGGTGATTATTAGGACTTTCATAAATTTATGAAGGGGGACAGTGGGGAAAATACTGCTGCTTAAAATTATGTTGATTCTTCTTGGATTCTACCTGGGTAATGGAGAGCAGGATTTGGCTCTCCTAGTTAGCTTACGTCTCTCTTCATGGCAACATACACAACCGAGAGAGCATCCAGATTCATTGCTGAAGAAAGCAAAGTGAGCCAGCTGGCCAGATAGCACATCTGTTTGTTTCATTCAGTGATGTGGAGATCCTCAGCCAGCCAAGGGCTTAGGTAGACTTTACTGAGTGCACCTAATTCTTACTACTTACGAAGAAGAAATTTTTTGTCTGTGTTCTATCTTTAACAGGCTTTCAACTGGTGAACCTAGAAAGCTTGATCTCCCTGCAACTCTTCATTAAGAGGAGTAGAGACATCTTACAGCTTACTGTTCTCAGCAATGTTTTCTTACTATAGAACAGACGTGTGAGTTGTAGTCTGAGACTGAGGTTGTAACATGCATTGTGGAACTTCTTGTTTTGAAAGGTGTGTATAGATTTAAATGTCTGTAACAGCTGTTACAAAAGTAGCAGGTTCTGAGATCTGTGCATACAGCTCTGTCTGTATCCTCCGAAATCAGGGAAGAGGATGCATTCTGTGTACCAAACCAAAAAGGCATGAAAAGGTTGCTTGCCCTTTTGTTGCGTGTGATTTCCCACATCTTCCTGCAATAACAACACTTGCTGCTTGCCATCTTTGGCTTGCTGAGTACACAGGCTGAATTCTGTTCTTTTCCATTAAAGACCAGCTTTAATTTCGGGCAGGAAATAACATTGTATAGCAAATCAAAATCATTGAATGGCCCTGTGATTGCTGTAAATATCTACATCACTGGGTTTATGTCAGTTCCCCATCTTTTATTTTTGTCCACTTGAATAGCATTTAATTTTCTCTCAGTTGGATACAACATTAGTTAAAATATGTGATACCCCTGTTGAAAGAAAGAAGTGAGTTGAATTGGCTTTGTCTTTGATAAAATGAATTTTAGCATTTTCAAATATTGTGGATCAGTGAGGAGGAGAGGAACTACTGTGTAAGTAAGTGTGTTCTGATAGAGATGTCTTCTGTTACTAATCCTCTTCTGTTCCTCAGATTTATTTGTATGTGCACTTCCCTTCATGACCATAATGCAGATTTTTGAACCTTTTTCTTCTTTCATTCTAGGCTTCTAGAAAGCTTGATATGCCTTTTAAATCTGGAAGGAATTTACCTGGAAGAGGGTTACAGCATTGAGGAGGGAAAGAGTGGTGGCATGTTTTCCTCTAAAGTAGTAATTGGATTCTCAAGTCTGTGGGTTATACCAGAAGAGGACTAGACTTTCAATCTCGTCATCTAAAGGCAACTAGCAATATGTATATTTGGCTGGGCCACTCAGTATTGAGGAATATTTACTCTTCGTTTTCATAAGCAGCTGTGGTTTTGCGCTTGAACTGGAGGGATAAGGAAAGAAACTGCCTAGGCATTCCTTTTTTAAGCTTATTAGCCTTGTTGTCAGCTATGCTCAGGGATAAACTGTTGTTTTGATGAAACTTAGAAAGCCTGTCCTTGTCTTTGTTCTCTTTCTCTCTGGTTTGTTAGAGCAAGATTTTAGGTGCTTAGACTGCAGCTGAGAGCTCAGTATATGAATTATGCTGGGGTTGTGCATCACTGTGTGCCTGGCGGAGGAATTTGATGGAACTGGAGGAGAATGAAGGGTATAAAATGCCATAAAAATTGTAGATGTAAAATTGATGTCAGAAGCAAGTCTCAGGAGATAACACATTGTTGGGGAAGCAGAGAGATTTTAGTTGGGAAGAGTGGGGTGGGGTATATTTTTTGTTTTTTTTTACCACTTGAATGTCTAGGAGGATGGGTACATGTAGAGGTAGCTTGTCTTTTTGGTACTGTAGCACTTGCTCCAGCACTTCTCTCTTCCCAGTCCTTGCTCTGGCCAGTTCCCTGTCTCTGCCCTTTCTTCCTTCCTTTTCTTCTCCATGGTGTCAGAAGTTTGTTTTCTGAAAAGTTTTATGGATAGTGGGTTCTGTTTGGTTTTCTGCCTGTAACTACTGAACAGGGTACAGAGTCCTGCAACAGCACGCAGCCCCCACCTGCAAATAATGGCATTTTGTCCAGGGCCCAGGGTCTCCCTTTTATTGTTTTCCATCTTCATCATAGAAATGAAATATTTAGTGGTCTGAAATTTTATTTACAGGTGATGCTACCTTCTGACTTTAATGAGCAAATGGGATAACTTAAATTAGTGAGAGCACTTGGAAGCTGCCTCTTTCATGCTTACAGCTGTATCACTGGCAGTGTTGCATGATAATACGCAACTTATGTCTTAAAAAAACCGTAAACCTGACTTGGAGCAAATTTCAGAAGCCAGAAGAAAGGATGTACTTATGGATATAAACCCAACTGAACTGTGGCAGAGCAACTTGGAAGTGGGTTTATTTGCGTCTTTCTGTCTCTGCATATTTATAGTTAATTGCTTCTGTATACAATACAAGTACAGTCTTTAGATGTTAGAGCATCTGGAATACATAGCAGTGTAATCAGGTAAATATGTGGCTGCTGTGTCATAGCACTTGAAATCCCAGTATTCTCAAGAGTTGTGTTATTTATTAGTCTTTTCTGAAGGATCTGTCGCGTGTCTACATCACCAACAGCAAGCTACTGGCAATATTGGGGTTTGGGTTGGAGACACATTCGGGCCACTTTGGATGACAATGAGATACTGTGCTCTGTAGGATACCTCAGGCATCATACACCAAAGAGGTGAAGACAACTCTATAGATGAGGGGTGGAAATCTTTGTTCCATTGAGAGGTTTTCTTAGTACTAAGATTTTACTCCCAATTCCTCACTTCCTAATTCAAGAATCTTCTAATAATTCATTGCTCCAGTTTAATGGTTCAAACCTTTATGACTCCATTAAGAGTTGGGTTGGATCACTGAAACCTTTTCATTCATGTGTAGCAGCACATCCACCATTTATACTAGCATAGATTGTTGCTATTAATACTGTTCTTTAAGAACATATGGTTTAAATATGTTAAAGTTTATGGATCCGGGCTCTAACCAGTAATGTTCTTTTTCATTATACGTCTGTTATAAATGCTCTCAGGTTAGAAAGTAATCCAAGGGATGGAATTGTATTGGAATGGTAGGCCTCGTATTTCTTTTTCTAAAAAAATTGGGGATAATTTTGTCAGGCAATGAGAATTTATCCATCACAGTTCATTAATGCTTCCAAACCCTTTTTTTAGCTTTTTCCACAGACTTAAGAAATTAAAGTATCCATCTGGGCTGCAGGAAGAAGAAACTCTGAATGTGTTTTTGCTTCCAAGGCAAAAAATCTTGTCTCAGTGGGACAAGCGAAGCTTGCCCATGCTGTTGGCAGCATGTTAAAGGAAAATGTTGCTGATGAAGCTAGAAATCTCTGTGGGTAACAGTAAATCTTTAACATAAAAAGGGGTCTCTCTTGCAAAACTGACAAAAAAAAAATTACAAGGTGACCTCTTAAAGAATGAAGAGGTTCTTTTCTGTACCTTTCCATAGTAAATGTGTATGCTTATAAAACTGTATTTGAAGTCACTGCCCTGCTGGCTACTACTTTGTCCCCATTGCATCAAAAAAGGGAGCTGGGGGCAGAAAGGAGACAAAGTGGGGATAAAGAAAGAAGCGGGAGGAGAGTTTGGGTCCTTTCACATGAAATAGATGAACAGGGGTGAAATGTTGCAATGTTTTAGCTTTCAAAAAGCTGTATTTCAAACACTACGTGCTTCATCTCAAAGCTAAGTAGAGCACTCAATGAGGTTATAAAAATAGCTGATGAATAAGAAAAAGGTGATGGGAAATGTGCATCATTCCCCACCCTTGGCATCCCCTGTGCTTGCCTTTAAACCCCTTGCAGAGGATTTGTGACTCTGCCAAGGAAAAGCATTGCCCTTGTCTTCTCTTCAAAAACAGCTAAAAGGAACGGCTTGTTCAGCGTAACATCCAGGAACACCGCATCTTCCTTCTGTGCTGTGGGGTTCTCTGGCTGACCTGTTCCATCACTGGTCAGTTTCAAAAAGGCTTTATTTATTACCTGCAAGGCAAAATACACGAGTAACTGGAGTCATCAGAGCATGACAGTGAAGAGACAAATGAAAGCTTGAGTAAATGATAAAACACATGAAATAATAACTTAGCAGCACAGGATAGACTCCATGGATGATTTAGAAAAAGACATTGGAGTTCCTGTACTAGAACAAGTGAAAAAACTCTACAACTGCTTAATAATTTAACGTAATTTGCCTTCTTTTTATGAAAGACAGCCCTCTCCTTCAAGCTCTCCATCCTTCCCCTTGGGACTTGAACGCTGAAGCCTGTCTTCAGGTGAGGTTGTGTGCTGCATGCACCCATGTGTGTGCCATGTCTGGGAGTAGTCCCTAAGTGATGGAGCGTTATCCTCAACAGCCCAGGAGCTGCAGCCTGTACTGCATGCTCCAGCTGTGGTGCCTGGAGGTGTTTGAGCTGTAGGTGGTAACAAATGCAGTCTAACTTGCACATGCAGTACCTAGCACACTTGGATCTCAAACTTCATCTCGCTGTTTGTGTTTGTCCTGTGATGAAATCTGAATAGTTTGAAGGCAAACCTGTTTCTGCAGATAGGTTAATCTAAGGAGTATTCATATCTTCCAGTTATCCTAAACGTCCCACCTGAGCATGTCCCACATGGCTCTGAGTGGTTTGTCGTAGGTAAATTCACGCAGTTAAAGAGGCTGAAACTGAGCAAGGAGGCATAGCTTTTAAGTGCCTGTAATGTGTACTGTACCTTTCCAACTGTGAGATTGGCATCACTTATTCTACTGAGATCTGCTCCCTTCCCCAGCAGTGTAGGCAGTTCCATATTGGCAAGAAGTTCCTGTAGATCGGAGCTGCCTTCTATTGTTAACTCTGGCAGTGTTAATTTAATTTCTCTACAGAAAAAAAAGAGAGAGACACAAGTGAGTGCATGCTCTCCACTGTGAAAGCATGGTGTTTGGGCAGTCCTGGGGAACAGGCTTGTGATAACAGCCACAAGAAATGCTTGGTGTGTGGGGACAGACAGCTATCAAGGGTCAATGGGCACCATGTCGCTGTTTCCAAGTGGGAAGGCAACCTAAATCTGCCCTGGTTATGCTATTAAACCTCAGATCATCCCACTTCATGGGTCCTGTTACTCATTTCCTTGAAATACCCCCAGATAATAAGCCAATCCCTCAGAAGTCTAGCTTCTCTGGAGTGAGGTCCCCTGGGTTTATCATGGAATGGCTTGTGTTGGAAGGGACCTTTAAGATCATCTAGTTCCACTCCCATGTCATGGATTTGCAGTTGTTTCTCTTTGTGCTCAGTGTTAAACCCTCCCTGGCAGCATCCAATCCCTAGTTAGTAATCAGGTGTGCCTGTGCAGTGCACCCTGTCTCATTCTTCCCTATGGGAGGATGCCTGTGCCCAAGCCCTACCTTGGAGAGAGTTGCTGGAGCCACGCCAAGGACTGCAATGGCAGCTCTACTTTGCTGTCATTGATGGGCTGCAGCAGCACCAGCAGCATGGTCTTGCTGATGGGCACTTCGACCACAGAAAAAGTCCCACTGGCATCAGTTTTGTAGTTGAATGTCCCCACAAATGACAGCATAGGGACCATGACCTTCGTATTTGAATCCACCCAGAACTCCTGAGCCTCTTCGAGCCGGGAGGCTTGCTTAACATTCACTGAAAAACAGATTGAGAAAGAGGAAATTGATTCTTCCTTCACTCCCCTCCTTTGCCCCTAGCCAGTATATATGCTTGTTTAAAACCAGCAACCTGTGCATTAGACAAGAGCTATGTGTATAAAATCATATTTAACTGCTATAAACATATGTATCCTGCTTTTAATATGCTTTCTGGTGGCATGAGGCAGAGGCTGGTGCAAGCTCACAGCACAGGGAACACAACCATCAGGACTGCAGCCAAAGCTGCTGTATTTCTGCTGGCTTTGTGGCCTTTCCTGGGAACAGTATTACTGCGTGCTTGGTTGCCTGCTTCCTCGCAGTGGAGGGTTTGCTTAGATTTCTTCTCCATCCCTTGGGTTGTGTTGATGGTATGTGTGGGAGCACATCCATCAGGGCCAGCCTTGCTGCAAGAGTGCTCTCAGCAGCTGGGAGGGCTCAGGAGAGAGCAGGTAGCACAAGCTCTGGCTGAGGTCTCACCCTTGGCAATCTTACGAGCCAAAGCAATGAGGAAGGTAGTAAGAACAACTCTGACATGCCAGTTGTGCCAAGGAGGTTAGAAAGGACACACTTGAACACTTGCTAAACTTTCATGTAAATTTCTTATCCAGTTCAAAAGTATGGGAAGCCTTGCTCTTACCTCCTGCTGCTTCTATGCAGCTTTGCATTTCAGCATGTTATCTGCTCACTGCCATAGATCAGTGCTGCTGCCCAGTTAGGCAGGTAATCCTGTTGGCATTAAAGAAACTACTGCCATCACTGAGAAGGGCAAAGGTCAGAAATCTCAACACTGCTGCGTGGTGGCATTAGGGAATTAGGAAAGCAGATGTGTATGTTGTGTTAAAGAGAAGAACTCCTTACATTTAAATATTTAATATTGATATAAAATAGCAGCTGGTCCAGCTCTATTGTTAACATGTCTGTTCTCCAATAAATCCAGCTAAATGCTGGACCCTAACATATTTAATATGTAGTGAGTGATTTTGCGTAGGAACACTTGCCTCTTAAACGAGCTTGCATAAAAGCTTTAGGCACATTTATGCACTTTTCACCTAGTATAACTTCACCAAAAAGAAGCAGCAGGTAGGAGATGTAAAAGGTGCAAGCAAAACAAAGAATAAGGCAGTAGTTCACTTTTTTCTCTTATCTTATAGTAAAGGATGCAAGCAGAAAGGAGCCGCTTTCACAGGGTCTGTATAACCTGCAAAATCTATTCTCACAGGATAGCAAAAGTCAAGACTGTAACAGAGTTAAAAGGAAAAAAAAAGAATTGAGCATTTAGATAGCTAAAAGCATCGAAGTGGGATAGTAATTGATTTTAGATAGGCTTGAGAAAGATACTGCAAACTTTCAAAGCTCTCCTACTGACTTTGACACTGAGTCCAATACTGTGCCAGTTGTGAAAAAGGACAAATCGGCACCACTGTCTTTGAAGCAGCTCCCTGTGGCCTTCCCAGGAGCAGGGCTACTACCCAGCCTTCACCCAGCCTTCAACCCCAAATAAGCATTGCTTCCTCATACCTGCCAAGCGGACATCCACTGCAAACAGCAGGTCAGCAGATGGATCAACATCTGTCAGTAAGCACTTGCTTTGGCCATTGCTTTTGGCCTCCATGAAGGCATTTATTTGCTTTACTGCCTCGCTTGGGTTTGTAAAGTCAACAGCTCGGGCGTAGAGAGCATCAGCAGAAGGGAGCAAGTCCTGCACAAACAGTAGGGATAGAGGCACACCAGGGGCAGAGAACAGGCAGAGCATCTTGGAAAACTGCAGCTCCTCGTCCCTGCTCTTGACCAGGTTTTCAATCATCCTGAGGATGGAAAAGACTTCCTGCCCAAACACCCGGGAGATGCAATCGGGGTCTCCGGAGGGGGGAACAAATTCCAGCAATCCCTGCAAATCAGCTGCCGTCTGGTTTGAGGCACCCAGGTAGAAAGACACCAAGGAGCCGTAAAGGCTGGTTGGGGACAGGAGCAGGTTCTGGTCCCGCCGTGCTTCCTGCAGGGTGCTGTAAAACTGCACGCCCAGGAAGTGCACAAACTCCTTTAAGTAGCTCAGTGCCTGCTGCCCCTGGCTGCTCCGGCCTGGGGCCTCCAGCTTATCCTTGTTCAGGTCATCTTCGTAGGCAGGTGTGGTTTGGGACTCAATGGAGACGGGTACAAAGGTTTTCTTTCCCTCCGGAACCTGGCTTTCCAGCTCCTCACAGGTACCCTTCTTGAAAGAAAACAGATTGAAAGGGTGGACATAGACCCGGTCACAAGTCAGTGTGGTGAGGCACGCCAGCAAACAGAGCAGTTCTGCTGCCAGATTCATGCTGTAAACTTGATTCCACGGTGCCTGCTGAAAGAAAAAGGAGGAAACAAGACTGATCATCCTGTAGTAAATACAGTTTTTCTTACTTGCAGGGTGAGGTGTTTGTGCTGCCTTGGAGTTACAAAGGCAGGAATTTAGTGCTGACTGGTCTGACTGTGCCCCCTTTAAAGCCCAGGGTGAGATGGCCACCAGTTTCAGTGATGGCAGGTGGGGAAGTGCTAAGCACAGGTTTGACCCCATTACCCACCGCAGTACCCTAAGGATTTAGCATGGGAAGCAGTGTGGTTGTGCTTGCAAACTAGAGTGTGCTAGTTCTGTCAAAACATTATAATAATGCAGCTATATAGCTCCAGGGACTTGGTCAGAGCACTCTCTGCAAACTGCTGCACTAAATCTTGCTGACACGTGGACAAGGCTAAGCGATTTGCCTGCTGTTACATGGGAAGTGGGTTTGGAAACCAGGTCTCTTAAGGTCCAACCACTGAACGTTCCCCCTTTTTCTGCCTAGTCAGCTTAATTCTTGGCACTAGAAGAGCATTTTGTGTTCTCATAGCCCAGGACAAACATTCATTCTAGCTCCTAGGCAAAAACACTCAAGGCTTCCTTATACAAACGTGCCAACACTAAAGCCATTTCCATATCCCCTTCTTTATCTGAATACAGACTCAGAAGGATAAGCTGAGATTTAGTCTACTGTACAGGCAGTCTTCTCCTGTAGTAAAGGATCACCTGCTGCTCTTGGTTTTCCTCATGTCCAGAGGATTTTACTGTATATGGATGTCACAAAAGATCTGGTGCATATTGGGAATGAGAAAGTCATGGGCACACATGCACAAACCTACATGGATACACACACCCATGCAAACACACTGACAAATTTTGCATTTTTATAGTTCTTGTTTTTCCTGCATCCAATTTTTTGGCAACCAGTAACTCCGCTGTACCCTCCCTGGATTTGTAGTTTATGACTTTGAATTTGTATATTTGAAATACAAATGCATTGGAAATTACACATCTGTAACACTTATCATTGGTCAAAATGCTGTTGTTCAGAACTGTACTTTTATTCTACTAGTCATTTCTTGTTTACTGTAGCTCTGTCCCCCTCTTTTGCCCTTTCCAAGCTCTGCAGAACTCACTGGATGGGCAAAATGCTAACAACAGAGCCAGTAACCAAGCTCTGCTCTCCACTGCCTTTCTCCAAGATGTTTTGAGTTGCACCCGCCTGTCAGGTATTGTCATTCTGGCAGCCTGAGCCTTTTGAGAAGACACAGTGCAATGTCTGTCTCACCAACACTTTAATTCACACAGAGTGGAAGTATTTGTGTTTAAACCCAGTCATTCAAGCCCTGGCACCTTCCTAGCCTGATTTACAATGTATAACCACAGTCACTTCACTGAGGGATCACAGAGTCTTTCCTGCTTAATAATACTCCAGTTTGCAGTATCACCATTCTCTTGCAAATACAAAAACTGGGACTTGCAGATGCTTGGTAATTAGATGTATGTTGCTAAGTACATATGCCTGCTAAAGCATGCATCTATGTTCCCAGGCTGTAGGCTTCTAACAGCTTGGTTTGCAAACGGAGTTTCTGCTGTTGTGATGGTCCCTTGGGATTTCTGAACTTCTCACTAGCCAGTGCCTGCAAGTCTGGCCTGAAACTATTTGCTCCTCAGAGGTATGCAGGCAAGGACCTGCTGTAGATCTCTTCATCTAAGGATTCCTCTTCCCCATTAACTGGCACGCCATCTGCCAAGTTAGCATGTAGGCAGCAGCAGTGGGTGCTGCCATCCCCTCTGCTCCCTGCTCTGTCTTCCCCTCCCCAGTCCTGTTGGCAGCAAGTGACACGCATCACAGAGCTTCCTCATTGCTTATGACCAGTTAAAATATTATCCTGGGACGTGCCTTCTCAATTTCAGCTTCAGAGTTAGCCCAGCCACTGTGCTAGTGCATTTCTAGACTGCTTGCTACATTTTCTAGACTGGGATAGCTCAGAAAAACAAACTAAAAAGCCACAATTAGAGGCACTGCCCTTCTCACCCTGTTGTCTCCACCTTATAATTCTTTCAAAGCGTTTCTTAACCTTTCCTGTCGCAGCCAGGAGGGTGACTCTGTGCCACCCAGTCAGGCTGTGCCATTAGGCACATTTGGTGCCCAGTGGTTACTTCTTTGCAGCTGCCAGAGCCACCATGAGCAGAAGAGGAGCAGTTCTCACTGCCAGCCTGTACACTATGACCCCATCTGTGGAAAGCCAGCGTGTTTTATTTCCCTAGAGAAGTCAGCCCCAAGCCCTTCAGAAAAGCAGGAAAATCAGAGCTGAACGAGTGGCATTCAAAACAAATCCAGTAAGTGTGCTTACTTGCCTTGGCCCTGGTGTGTGCCACCCCTCCGACACCGTCCCCCCTCCAGCAAGCTCCTCTTTTCCCTGGTGCGGGGTGTAGTGATTGCAGCTGGATTTATACCCTTCCCACGGGAGGGCCCTTTCCACAGGGGCCTGTGTGCAGTGGCATTGCGCAAAGCTACTTTACATCACAGGCTGTGGGGATAGAAAGAGGTAGCTCAGGCCAGACAGGACCCAATGAAACCTGAGCACAGCTTAACACCGGCTGCATAGAAAGTTCCAGGGATGGACACACAACCTTTAACCGGACTCAGAACATCTGCGTAGCCTGCAGTTACACATTCACTAGGATAGACACCGGTGTTTCGCTATGCAGAAGAGCTTATTATAGGAGCTGAAAACAACTCAGCCCAGTTTGGGCCAGGTTGAAAGGAATGCAGGTTTCTTTGTGCCTGTTATATGGCTGGATCAGGTATTTTTCTCCTCCAATAAATTTCCTTTAATCTCTGCCTTGCAGCCTGGGTACCCAGTGAGTGGGATATGTACGCTATGGTGGATTAAAATGACGAAGCTCTCAATTTGTACCACGTCTTTCCCTCTTGATCTATCCAGGAGATCAGGAGTTTATTCTTTTTTCTCTTCAAAGCAAAATGTGTCGAAACGGAGAGGATGAAAATTAGATGGATGAGGTTGTCAGTGCCAGATCACAGAGACTGCATCCCTCCCAGTCTCAGTTTCCCAACCCTTCTTTGGCAAAAGGGGTGGGATCTGGACACCTTTCTGCTGGTTTTCAAACCATCCTGCAGTTTTGGTATGCCCCTTCTTCCTCTTTAAACAAATTAACAGTGAATCAAATTGGGGATGTGGCAGTTGGGTTAGACTGGGTCTCATTCAGTGCCCTTGTTATAGCTCATAATTAAAATCCCATAGCTTTCGTGAGAGTAGGGCTGATTTAACATCCATGCCCTGATTTTAGAGGGCCAATCAGGCATGGTTTGTACTGCACTGCCCAGTTCCATTCGGGTTCAAGAACAGAGCCAAGACAGAGAGGAGTGTACATGGGCAGTCAGACCTATGCAGCTGAAATGAAGACAGGGTCAGCCGAGTCCTGCCAGCCCAAGTGCTGTTTGCCAGGTGCCTAATACCAAAGGGATGGAAAATGTTTGTCTCTGCAGCCCTGCTTTTCGCTTAAACAACCTAATAACCTTAGCTCTAATAAGATCTGAACGTTTTCAGATCTTAGCACAGGCCCATATGACATGGTATCATGTGTACAAGGCTCGAACAACCAGCTTGAAATATTCAAGAAGTTTTGTCCTCTTGTTGCCTGAGCATCTCAGTTGAGGAAGCATCTGGAAACAGAGCAGCTCCTGATCACTTGTCCTATCACAGTGTCCTGGGTTCAGCAGTAGCAGTCATTTTTCCCCTTCTTGGTAGCTGGTGCAGTGCAATGTTTTGACTTTCAGCTCGGGAACGGAGCTGATAACAAGCGATGTTTTGGTTTGGCCAAGGACTTTGTGAGCCTCATGCTCTGCCAGGGAGGAGGGGGAGCCAGGAGGAACAGACAGGACACCTGACCCAAACTGACCAAAGAGGTATTCCATACCACAGCACGTCATGCCCAGGATGTAACTTGGAGTTAGCCGGAAGGACTGGGAGACCGGAGGGTTGGAGGAGGTATCGGTCAGAGCTTGGTCGGGCTGGAGTTATCGGTCGGCTGGTGGTGAGATGATGTATTCTCTTCCCTTGTTATTTCCTTTATCATTATTATCATTGGTGGTAGCAGTAGTGATTTGTGTTATACCTTAGTTACTAAACTGTTCTTATCTCAACCCGTGGGAGTTGCATTCTTGTCGATTCTCCTCTCCGTCCCTCCGAGAGCAGGGGGAGGGCAAGAAAGGGGGGGAAGTGAGTGAACGAGTTACCTGACCGGGTTTAAACCACGACACACAGGCAGCTATAAAATGCATGTAGCCCAGCCACAAACACAGACAATGGGAGGAGTAGCTCCTCCATTAAAGATGCAGTTTGTTCAGTTAAACGCTAAGTAAACAAACTAGGTTTTGGTTTGCAATCCGTTTCTTTTCCTTTTCCATTGGAGGGCTGGGTAGGGTGTGTGACAGCACTGCCCAAATCTGTCTCCCACACTGCCACCTATGCAGATCCACATGAGGTAATAAGCACCAGTGGTGTGCATGAGTGGCCTGTGAGCTATAGCTTGCCTGCTACATCATTCTAGGTAAGTCTTGAAGACAGAGAAAGAGCAAACCCAGCCTGATAGCCTCAGTATTAAGGACACTGAAACCAAGGCTGTTTCAGTGAAGGGCACCTTGTGTTCTGTAAAACTCTGGAAAGAATCTTTTTTAACAAGAATCACTGACTTTGGCAAACAAGTGATGCTAATAACCTACACTACAGCTGCCAGACTTACGCGTTTCCTATGGACAATAAATACTGGAAGGGGAAATAACATAACCCACGGTCACTGTATTTTTTTCCTTAAATCATCACGCCTCTGCACTGTAGCACCCAGGGGTGGTGGTGTTTGGGTATTTACGGCTTCCAGTTCCCCTGCAGGCCACGACTGAGTAGTGCTGCAGCTGTGGTCTCCTTTTGCGTAGGTACCAGCCCCAAACCGGGCATCCCTGCCTGCAGCTTTCTCCAGGAAAAAAAGCTTTCCCCAGATAATGTTCAATGACCTGCTTACACCACAGCTTCTCCTGCTTCAGAGCACCTGGAATTCAGGAATTTGGCTGGCCACAGTAATGAGGAAGAACCTCTAATTTCACCTTATGTTCATGTCCTACCACAAAGCTCAGAAACAGGTCCCCTCCAATCTGCTGGTCACTTACGTTCACTCAGTTAATATTCCCCTATTATACATCACACACCAGTGCACTTCTTAGATCTTTGTCTTTTATCTTCTCAGTTTTCACTAAAGGAGACACTTTCAGACTAGGAAGAATATAGACTGCTACACCTGGAACACATTTTATCCTGGTGGGACTTAATTACAGTAAGTCTTTCATTCTACTTCTGAGCCATTTTTAGGCAGGTGTGCATAAGCATTATCCCAATTACTATATGTGGACTCTGTTGTCAGGCGCTTTTTTTTCCTTGGGTTGCCATGGTTTTAGGAGCCAGCATGTGCTTAAAGATAGAGCTTCAGCTTCGGAAAGAAGAGCCTCTATCCTGCTTTTCAGCTCTGGTGACCAAGGATCTCTCCCTGAAGAGAGCTGTGCCAGAAAACCTGCTTTGGGGCAAACTTGGGCAGAAAGTTTTCCTGCAATAAGGAACTGAAGAAGGTGAAAGCAAAGCTGTTCCTAAATGCACCCTGTGCAAAGCAAGTGCAGGGCCTAACGAATCTTGCACTACAACAGCCCTAAGTAAAGATACAAAGAAACACCGACCTCTCAAATGTGCTCTTCACTGAAGAGGTTCCCACTCTCCTTTTGCCTCACTCTTCCTGACTTTTGAGGGGCGTTCAGCTCCCCCTTTTATACCCTGTCTTGCATAAGCAGGGTCCACCCTCCCTCCTCCCCCCCCACTGCCCTCATTTCTCTTCAAAACCTGCCTCTGTTTTCCCTGCTTGTTATTCATGGTCATTACTAAGAGGGAGAAAAGGGGTGGAAAAACACTGGTGCTGTGGTTATAGCCATACTCAAAGAGATCAGAGCTCCTGGTCAGCCCCACTCTTCTGAAGTGCTGATGGGAAAGCACTCCCTTGCCTCACAGAAATTTCTCAGTGATGGTGCTGATAGCACTCCTCCATGTAAACAGCATCAAATAGACTTCAGAAATGTTAACCCTGGCAGAGGAAGACTAACCATACAGCCAGCAGTGTGTAATTCAGTCTTGAATGGGAAATGATTTTGTCCAAGCTGGAATTTCAATTGACTGGTCAGGCAGCTATTCTTTCACTGAAGAACATCTTGTCTCTACTCTGTCAAAAAGCGGTTTTATTGATCCAGATGGTTCTGGGAAAAGCTGCATAAACCTCAGCACTTTGTGTGGAGACAATAGTAAATATTTTATTCTGATTTTTTCATCTTTCCCAAAGTTTGCTCTGAGGTCTGAACTCAAAAGGGCCAGATGTACTCCTGTGATGTATGGTGGGAGTCATGGAGAAAGGATAATAAAGTACTCTGCTCATAGCCCCAGACCACAGATCTTCACATGGGGCCTTCCTGATCTGAGTTGGTATGGCTGATCTATATAGATTATGAATTATTACATGGCTGACTCAGACATAATAGCATATACATGGTCATATATCATTCATCACTAAATTTGAGGGCTTCTTTTTTGTAAGAGTGCCTTGAGGGAGAAGTAGCCACGAACGGTTCACTTATACAGCCTGTGGGTTGAGGTTGGTAACTGTAAACCTCTACACCCCATCAACATCCATAGTGTTCCCTCTCTCTCCTGCTTAGGTAAAGGAAGACACTGTGAGGTCTGGACAAGGCAGCCACTGGAGTGGGCAAACAGGCACTGGGAGGAGGACAGGGAGGAAGGAAGGAAAGGAAAACGAGAATGTGCATGTGGGAGGATCTGACAAAAGGAATTACTCAACAAAGAATGTCACTTCGTTGACTGGTGCAGCGGTTGCCCCTGCAGGTGTGGCAGGCAGTCACAATGGTGAAAGGACCACCATTTGTGTGGCATCCAGGAAAAAGCTTTGTAAAGCAGTCAAGTGCCTACACAGATCAAGACGCTTCACTTTAGAAGAGAAACCACTGGTATGGGGAGCATAAATTTAAAATGATGGAGGTGAACAGAAAGTCCTGAATTGCTGTTTTGTAGTGATGCTAGAATCAGTGGGTTCACAGTAAAATTACCAGGCAGCAAAGGTAAGTAAAAGGAGGGGGCCTTTCGCTTGTATAAACTGCAGGAGGCACTGCCATAGGACGTTGCAGAGACCAAAAGTCTTAGCTGGTACACAAAGAGATTAAATAAAGTCACAGGCTGCATGGCCTTCGGAGGCTGCAGAACATCGTGGCCCAGGTGTGACTGGAAAATCCCCAGACAGCCAGCTGTCAGGAAGTTTAGTTTGATCCATGTAACAGCTCTCGTGCTCCTCTCTAAGGGCTTGTCTTCAACTTGCGATGGAAATGGAGATGTCTGCACTGAGGCCACCTTATGCTGGCTCATTTTGCAGTACAGACTGGAAATACTCTTTTGCTAGAACATTAGTTAGCCACTTTT